AGATTTGTTGAGGGCTTGTGTGCTAGACTACTTAGGGAGTTGGGAGGAAGTCCTATCACTGGTAGAGTTCACGTATAACAATAACCTTCATGCTAGGATCGGGATGGCACCGTTTGAAGCCCTGTATGGTAGGAGGTGTAGGACTCCTCTGTGTTGGCACCAAGATAATGAATCAGTGGTTTTGGGGTCGGAGTTAGTCCTACAAACTACTAAGAAAGTAAAGTTGATTCAAGAGAGTATGAAGACTGCCCATAATAGACAGAAATCATGTGCTGATGAAAGGCGAAAGCCTTTGGAGTTTGCTGAGGGGGAACATGTGTTTCACGTTTCACTGTTGAGGAAGTATGTCCATGACCCGAGTCATGTAGTTGAGTTGGATGAGATTCAGGTCAAGGAGAACCTAACTTATGAGAAGAGATTGGTAGCTGTGATTGATTTCAAGTTGAAGGAGTTGAGGGGCAAGTCCACTGGATTGGTGAAAGTTCTTTGGGATGCAGCTACTGGTGAGGCTACTTGGGAAGATTGAGCAGCAATGTAGAAAGCAGTATCCTTCTTTATTCCCAAGTAAGTCTATTTTTAGGAACGAAAATTCTTGTTTGTTGGGGAGTATTATAACGTAGTAAGTATTTCAGAAGGAGATGGGTGATTTAGTATCCCAGAACGGGCCATTCCCAAACTAGAACAGGTCGTTCTGCATGTGAATTTTACACAAGATGAAGGAGCCTAGAACAGGCTATTCCGGATTCGAAACGGGCCGTTCTGGCCACTCCTAACCTCTATAAATAGTCGTTAAGGAGGGAGAGAAAGGGAAAGAAAGAGGGTGATGGAAATCTAATCCCCAAGGATCCATTTGGAAGAGGTAAGACCAAGAAAGGTGAAGGTTGATCCAAGGAGGCTCACCCATGAAGACCATTAGGCCTCTAACTAGGTCTATGGTTAGGAGGCTAGAGGAGGCTTCTATAGAGGAGGTGCTTCTTAGACCTATGCTCAATATGAGTATTGAGTATGATTCCTCTTTTTAGTCTCATAGTCTCTATTGTAAATATATTGTATAGTTTGATTTCTTGTACCTTGTATATAGTAGATACTTGTATAGGTGTATTTTTGCCTTTGTATTTGTGAGGCACTTTATTTCCTTTTTAGTAGCTAATGTATATTGTTTCTAGGGTAGGTTACTTGGGCACTTTGACTCCATTTAACCTAACCTAGAAATACATTCTTTTCTTAGTTTTCTAGTAGTAGGATTGGGAGTGGCATTAGCAAGCTAGAGAGTGCCATTAGCAAGCTAGAGAGTGTTACTAGCAATTTAGCCAAGAGGTGGTCCTAGGCTAAAATTTACATATTGGACTCATTTTACTCCTAATTTTTCATAGATTTGATTTAGCTAGGTTCCATTCACATTGGATGAACCTAACTAAACCAAATTAACAATTTCAAAACCGGTTGGAGTAAATTAATTCCAAAGAGCCACCCACCTAGATGTGTTCACACTTGTGTTCACACTTGGCCAAATTGCTTGGTTCTTCTCAAGCTTAGAAGCTTGAAGCACAAGCTTCTCCTTAGCTTGCTTACTAAGCAAGCTAAGTGAGTAGCTTGCTCTCCAAGCCTCTAGACCATGGATGGTTAGCTAGACCTTACCATGGTTCCTAGTGAACCATGGTTAAGACTAGCTTGCTCTCCAAGCTTCCTACTCCTATATTTTTGTTTTTCCTTCATTGTAAAACACTTTTGGATGTATTGAGATTTCATTTCTAAAATTGAGTTCAGATTTCTCTCTTCTAAAAGTCCCTAAAGCTCTTTGATAGCATCCAATTCTCTTATCCCTTCATAGAAGAGTGTGGTGAGAATTGAAGGTGTTTATCTCTTCATCAAGTAGTGGCGCCTCTTGGTAGAGTTTCTCCACCAAACCGTGGTGGTTCTAAGGTCTCCTCCTCCCTTGGAGACCTTAGCCAAGCCTAGGAAGAATCAAGGAGCCAAAGATCTAGGGAGGAACTTGAAGAGGATTCACATCAATCCGGGTTTCCAAGCAAGTTTTCCATCAGAGGGAGAGAAGTTTAGAGAGAAAGACTTTGATCTGCTAGGAAGCTTGATTTTGAAGGATTGAAGTTCGGGAAGTCGAGCTCGGAGGAAAGTTTTTCTTATTCCCGAATTCTTGGCTATTCGGAGCCAATATTCAGGTTAGGGAAGCTTCATGCATTGTTTTCCTTGAAATGGTTGAGTTGTTAGGTGTGGATTGAGTTAAAAATTTGGGTTTTTTTGTTTGAAAGAAAAAGAGATGATGGATTTAAATTAGTGGTTGCATGTAGTTGTTCTTGTGTTTTATAAGTTGTTTATAACGTGGTTAAGTTGCTAAGTTGCTTGATGAAGATGAGTTGAGTAGTTGTTGACTTAAGTTGTTAATATGTTGTGTGTTGATAATATGTGATATGTTGTTAAAGTTGCTATATGTTGTGCATTTGGTGAAACTAAGTTGTTTTTATGTTGTTTATTGTTGAATTATTAATAAGTTGAGATGTATAAGTTGAAGTAGTTCATTGCTGTAAAGTTGAAAGTTGCCTTAAAGTTGTTATGATGTCTATTGTTATAAAGTTGTTATGATGTCTATTGTTGTAAAGTTGTTATGATGCCTATTGTTGTAAATTTGTTATGATGTCTATAGTTGTAAAGTTGTTTTGATGCCTATTGTTGTAAAGTTGTTATGATGCCTATAGTTGTAAAGTTGTAAAGTTGTCTATTGTCGTAAAGTTGTAAAGCTGCCTATTGTTGTAAAGTTGAAAAGTTGGGGACATATGGTGAAGATATATGTCATATATTAAGATACATAGTACTAAGGTGATAAGTTGAAAGTTGTTTTAAAGTTGAATCCCTTAGTATTGTGTGGACGACAAGGAAGTAATCGATCCATGTCATGGTTGAATGACCAAATTGAGTAAGGTATCTAGTTAGAGTTGTAGTCTTTGACTAGGTACTGGAGGGTGCGTGGTACTCGAAGGGAAGTGGGTGGACTAACCTCATATGTGGATTGGTTATGCAGACCAAGGTCGTGGTAGGTTCATATCCAAACCCTTCTGCAATGACAGTAGTACTGGACCTCCGAGTCTAAGTGGCACACTTGAGCAATCTCCTATTATTGTCTATACCTGGTTCTCTTCGGAGTTCCTAATATAGGATTTATTTTTTCTTTTATTTCTCATTTTACCCTTGTATTTTGGGGGGCCTTAGCTCAGGAATTATGATACGATTGGTGAGATGGCCTAGACACATTTTTTGGTGATTATTAGAGTTATTTTGGGTTTGGAGAAGCTTAGGCCCAAGAGGAGGGCACATGGGTTGCATAATCTTATTATGCACCTAGTCATAGCTTAGCCAAACCAAAGATTCCATCCTTGGTCACCAAGTAGGCATGACATCTAGGGTTCATTTGGCTTGGATTTGTGTTGTATTTCCCTCGTATTTAGCATGGAAATGTGCACACTCCTAACTCTAGCCGTCACCCTAGTATGACTAGCCATGACCTCTCATCCTAATCTATATATACCTTAGGCTATGCTTCATGTATTCACTTTGGAGTTTATAGATATTGAGTGAGCCTTGTGCCTCAATTTCTCTCCTTAGTCCCTTGGCTATTTTTGGACAAACCCTACCCATCTCCACCTTGAGTGATAAACCCTAGGAGTGGGCTTCATCTTCCATCGAGTGAGCCAAACCCTAAAGTGCCTCTCAAGCATTTCCTCAAACACCTTCATTCCTTCTATCTTTCTTGGCCATCATCATCATCATTCAAGACTAGAGCATTTAAAGAATCGTGATCCTTGGAGTCAAGGAGGCCTCCCTTTGATACTTCTTCATCCATCAATGTTGGGAGGACTTCCATCATACATCATATATGATTTGAAATCAAGCTAAAACAACACATGCACTACAATTTGCATGAATCACCCAAAGTCCACACCTATGAACTCAAAACACCGAGAGCTCAACATACATCAATCTCACCTCAAATTTTGATCAACAACTCTGTATTTAAGGAAAATCTACGCACCCACAACTCAACAATCCATTAAGGAATCGAGTTTAGCTTACTTTACCTCAACCTCTAAGCAACTGGAACCAAAAGAGAGAAAGGAGAAGGAAGAATAAATTTGAGCTCAAAGAAGATGAGCTTTAAACCAATTTTCAACCTTTATAGATTCAAATCCAACATTCCCAACTAAAAACCTCACACTCCAGAGGAACCTAAAAGAAAAAGGAGAAGAAGAATCAGAGTTTCTCTTTCTAGATCACTCTCTCTCTAAGGTTTCTAAAGAATAAGAGATTATGAGTGTAGACCCCTAAAATTGTCCGGGTCGGAAATTCTGTTCTTTATAGGCTGTTGAAATTTTTGCCGAATCAGACAGAAGTTGATTATATGCATGCTGAAGAGTCTTAAAGTCAGATTCGCTAACCTCTTCATCATCAGATTCTGATGATGAGTTTGTGTCTGCCATGAGACATATATTTGCTTCTTCATCATCTTCAGACATTGACGTGTCTAGATCTTCCCAGGTGGCCATCATGGCCTTCTTCTTTTTGTGGAAGGTTAGCCTTTTCTTTTCTTTCTCTTTTTCTTTCTCTAGATCTGGACATTCTATTTTGTAATGTCCTGGTTTCTTGCATTCAAAGCATACTGGCTGAGTCTTGTCTCTAGGAGTTCTATTGAATTTTCTCCAACGTGATCCTCCTTTCTTCTTCATCATAGAGTGGATCTTTCTTGATAAGAAGGATATCTCATTGTCTAAGTCACATGTTTCTTCATCACAACTCTCATCAGACGCTTCTTCCGCCTTTAATGCTTTCGAAGATGATGGTGTAGATTTTATCTTTTGCACACTTAGTGCAATGGACTTTTGTTTTCTCCCAGCGTCATCTTGTTATAGCTCCAGCTCATGGACTTTGAGTAGCCCTATGAGTTCTTCCAGTGAGAGCTTTTCGAGATTCTTGGACGCTCTCAAGACTGTAACTTATGGTCTCCGTTTCCTGGGTAAACTACGAAGTAGCTTGTCAATATGATCAAAATTATCATAAGTTCTACCAAGGAAGGAGAGTTCATTTATAATAGTTTGGAATCTTCCAAACATAGTTTGGATAGACTCATTCTCTTCCATTTCGAAGAGTTCATACTTATGAACCAATAAGATTAGCTTGTTGCATTTTACCTCCAGGGATCCCTCGTAGGTTAGAGCTAGGGTATCCCACATCTGTTTGGCACTCTTGAAGTTGTGTACTTTAGTGTATTCTTCCTCAATCAGAGCACATATGAGTGCATTTTGAGCTTTGGAGTTCAGTATGAATCTATGTTTCTGTTCTTCATTCCAATGTGCTTTAGGTAACTCCCTGCCAGCATCATCAAGAGGAATGTAGTTTCCGTGTTCTACGAAATCCCACATGTCTATATGACATGCATCAAAGAATGTAATCATTCTTTGTTTCCAGTAGTTGTAGTTTGTTCCTTTAAAGAGAGGTGGGTGGTTCACCGCCTGTCCTTTGTTTTCCATTGATCGTACCCCTGTAGTGTTAGATGCTCAACCCTAAGGGTCAAACTCTGATACCAATTGAAGTTAGCGGAATATAACACAAAAGGGGGGGTTGAATGTATGTGTGCGAGAACGAAGTAATTTTAAAATCAATACTCTTTTCCCTCTAAAAACAATATTATCTTGAGCACTTAAAAACTGTGCAAGGTTGGCTCAACAAAAGATTTTCTGTCTGAAGGTTTATCGGCTGCACAAGGAAAATGTTTCTCAAAAGGAAAATGTTCTTTAAGATGATAAGTTACGCAAGTTTATTTTTCGTCACAAGATAGTTGTAGTAAAAATAATTAGTGGATGAAATTTTCAGTATGACGTAATAGCTAAACAAAATTGCGTCTAAAAATAGGTAAAGAGTGTAAAGAGTTTTATACTGGTTTGCTCAACCTGAGCTACATCCAGTATCCTTCAACTGAAGGGTTCCACTAATCACAACGGATTACAAGTATTATCAACCACTTCTGGTACGTCAACTTCACTCGTCGACGCTAGTATTCTTAAACCACTTCTGGTTCACCGAGTATTCTCAACCACTCCTGGTTCGTCAATTTCACTCGTCAACGCTAGTATTCTTAAACCACTTCTAGTTCACCAAGAATTCTTTCAAATAGCCTCTCTAGGCTTTACAATAAATGAATGGTTTGATTGTGTGTATAACTCTCACAAAGAGGATAGGATGATTTCTACACTCGCTTAAGGTATTCAACCTTAGATTTACAAAGATGTGTATTCTGAGTGTGTGTGTTACTCTCACAGAGAGGATAGGATAATTTCAACACTCACTAAGATAAGCTATCTTAGATCTACAGAGATATACAAGACTGTGCAAGAAGAGATTTAATGTTTGCTTTTGCTTCTTGCTTGTTGCTTCACTTTTCTTCTCACTTCTTGTTTTGTCTTGATATTTATAGCCTCATTGTAAATTTGTCCGTTGTTTGAATTTGAAAATATTCGTTGGAGCGGAGCTTCCTGTTGGCCCAGATAGTAGTTTGTTCATGGCTATGTAGATATTTCATTCAATGCACTTGATCTTGCATTAAATGTTTGCTTTCCAAATCTGTGTTACGTGAAGTCCTTTGCATAGTTTGTTCACCTTTATGTCTGACTTCAATCATAACCTAGGTATATTTGTTCTCTTTCCGTTAGTGTAGCTATAGAGGCATTTTCTTTTTCTAAAAAGTAGGTGTACTTGCTCTGACACACGTAGCTTTGACTTGTGAAATCGTGCTTGCCTATTTTTCTTCTTTCTTTTTACAATATTGATGACTTCTTGTGCTCTTCTTATGAATGTAGACGATATATGATATTCCTCGTTGTGAATAGTAGACTTCAGATGCTTTTCAATATTCTTCGTCTACGTCTGGAATTTGAGTCTCCGTCTAAGAGGTAGACTTTGACTTTTCCTTTCATCTGGTTAGTTGTGCAGATGGAAGACTTATAATTTTGTCTGGAGAATTTTTTTGTCTTGTGTTATCCATCGTCTGATATTTTGTTGACCTTCGTCTAGTTGACCTTTGACTGGTAGTGTGTTAAGGTTCGATGTACGGACTTCATTCGGTGCTTGACCAACTTTTATCTTGTTCTTGACTTATTCTTCTGATACTTCAAGACTTCGACTAGTGGTATGCCTTGTCTTGTATGTATTTTCATTTGGCTTTTGTCAGGCTTAGTCTTGATGCTTGATCAGTTCGTTTGATGTTTTGTCCAACTCAACCAGGCTTTATTTATTTTGACCATAGTATATGTAATGACATATACTTCATTTTTCAGTCCTGTTCTTATATTTATCTGAAACACTAACACACATGCTAGAAATAACAGTATGTGTTATATTTGTCATGTTCAAAACCTTGTTGGGGATTTCTTCGTCTGACTTAACAGCATTGTCCTCAAAGACTTATCTGCATGCTATGCTAGTCTCACATGATATAATATGTCCTTCCTAATAATAATTAAGATAATAAAACTAGCAAGTTTTTATAAGTGAGAATAACCTAATAACCCATACAAGGAGGTAAAATAAGAAAAGATGCATAAAGGGAGTTCACTAGAACCTTTTGAAATAGTTGTATTTATAAGAACAAAAAAATTGTTTCTTAAAACCATCTAAGACCAAGTCAACAATTCAAGAAGATAAGGTAACAACATCTCTTAAAAAACCAAGTCAAAATGATAAGATGAGACTTAGTCTATAAGACCAAGTCAACAATACTAGATTTAATTGAAATATCTTTTAAATAAAAACTAAATTAATTTATAATATTTTTCTAAACCTTAATTAAACAATATATAATTTTTTTGAAATATAATTCAAAATGTATAACAATTTCCCACATATTTTTAAAAAGAATAAAGAAAAGAAAGAATTTTATGGGTTCTCATTCTCTTAGATGTAATGATGGAAACTTGCTTGGAAAACCGAATTGATGTTGATTTCCCTTCAAGCTCCTCCCTAGATCCTTGACTCCTTGATTCTTCCTAAGCCTTGTTAAGGTCTCCAATGGAGGAGGAGACCTTAAAACCACCACGGTTTGGTGGAGAAACACTCCCAAGAGGCGCCACTCCTTGGTGAAGAGATAAGCCACTTCAATCCTCACCACACTCTTCTAGTGAAGGGATAAGAGAATTGGATGAAATCAAAGAGGTTTAGAGACTTTTAGAAGAGAGAATTCTGATCACAATTTCAGAAATGAAATCTCAATACATCCAAAAGTGTTTAACAAAGAGGGAAAAACGAAAATATAGGAGTAGGAAGCTTGGAGAGTAAGCTAGTCTTAACCATGGTTCACTAGGAACCATGGTAAGGTCTAGCTAACCACCCATGGTCTAGAGGCTTGGAGAGCAAGCTCCTCACTTAGCTTGCTTGGTAAGCTAGCTAAGGAGAAGCTTGTGCTTCAAGCTTCCAAGCTTGAGAAGAACCAAGCTATTTGGCCAAGTGTGAACACAAGTGTGAACACA